ACTCACCTTTTCTCATTAGCTTTTGAACCCGTTGTGAGCCAGACTTGACTCTGTGCAATATACGTATGTTCTGTCTCAGGTTTTTTTTTTTTTTTTTATGTGTAATTGATGTTGTTTCTAACTGTTTGTCTGTTTTTATATTTGTTTCTGTTTTTTTTTTTTTTTGTATTTTGTATCTGTTTTTATATTTTGGTATTTATCATTCTATTTATGTGGTATTGTAATTTTCACAGTGTTTGTGTAAAGCACTTTGGTGACTTCTGTCTTTTCAAATGTGCTATAGAAATAAATGTGACCTTGACCTTAATAACCATCTGTTTATCCCCTCTATTCTAGAGTCAACTTTCGCACAGTGGAACAATTTAGGTCTGACCTGTTTTAATGATCTGTATGACGATAATACATTTCCAGTTTTGAGTCTTTACATCTTAAATTTGGCTTGCCTCTCTCTAACTTGTTTCGCTACCTTCAAATCCGCCATTTCATTTGTAAATAGTTTGACTCATTTCCTGTGCTCCCTCAGCAATCTGCAAGGGAGAGATTTTTTAATTTACCATCAAATTAGAAGGGGCTTATATCAGTTATTTATCATAATATTATGCGTCTGACTGGAAACTGTGTTACCAAGATAAGAGCTAGGTGGGAAAAGGAACTGAGTGTAGAGCTGACAGAACAATGGTGGAAAGGAGCCTTGAACAGGGTAAACTCTTCTTCTAGGCTTAAGCTGGTTTATAGAGTGCACTACAGCAAAGCCAAACTGGCAGACATTTACCCTGAATCTGACTCTAGGTGTGACCGCTGTCATATGTTTTGGCATTGCCCAAGGCTCAGATCTTTTTGGTCCTCAATTTTTAATGTGTTCTCAGCGGTCTTAAATACAACAGTACAGCCCTGTCCATTGCTGGCCGTCTTTGGAGTGCCGGCTGACCCTCTCCCAATTAATTCAATCGAAATTGATATGCTGGCCTTATTATTATTATCTCCACCACCCCCTTTTTCTGCATGGCTTAAGGACATGATTTTATTTATAAATCAGAAAAGATCAGATTTGTACTCAGGGGAGATGGTCAGAGATTTCTAAGAAAATGGCAACCTTTCATTTTTTACTTTAATAATAAAATAAAATTAAAAAAAAAGACAGCTATGTGACCCTATCGAAACTGATTAATAAGTATAGACCAAAGAGCATAGATAAATGTCCAGGAAAAATTAATTAAAATTAAATATTAAATATTAAAATTAATTTTAATAATAGTTTTAATTAAGAGCTAAATAACCCTATTAAATATTAAGAATTCTTCGAGTAAATAGAAAAAAATGTAAGAAAATGTAGAAAAAATGTATAGGAAAAATGTAAGGACAAAAAATCTAAGATACAATGAGAATAAATAAGATGTAAAAGGGACCCACTCTGACCTTGTCGACCTCTTAATACTAGCCAGACAGCACAATAGAGTATCTAAATAGTAGAAAAGGATAAATGTGTCTATATAAATTTTAATGGGAAATCAAAATGTACAAAAGGACCACAAAAGATTATGCAGAAATAAATGATGAAAAAAAAAAAAAAGAATAATAAATGAATAAATAAAAAATAAATCCCCTTGGGCTCTCAGTTTGTACGTAGAGTGTGGATCCAATATGTTTCTCTCTGTAACAGAAGTCTATCCCTATTGCTACCTCTTTTGCAAGATGTATCATTTCTGTACCTTGAAATTTAAGGGAACAAACACCATAGCCGGCTGAATGGAAGTGTCTTGCCACCAGAGATTTTTCATCATTTTTCCTTATGCTACTCTTATGTTCAGAAACCCTAGTTTTCAACTCTCATTTAGTTTTACCAATGTATGCTAATCCACAAGGGCATTTCAGAAGATATGCAACAAATTTGGTTCTGCAGAAGATCCTACTCGTAATGTTGAACTTTTTGCCTGTGTGGGGATGTAAAAAAACATCCCTTCTGATCATAGCATTGCACTGGGCACAGTTTAAACATGGGAAATTACCTCCTGCTCCTCCCTCTTAGAGAGAGATTTAGGGGTTAATAAAGTTTTCCTGTCTCTATTTTTCACTTTATCCAAACTCTTTCTGAGCACATGATTATTATAGCCTCTATCTCTGAGCCAGTTACACAAATCAATAGCTTGTTCTTCAAAAACGCTGTCCTTGCTGCAGATTCATTTAGTTCTCAATAACTGACTGTATGGAAGACCTTTCTTCAAACTAGGAGGATGGTAACTACTAAAGTATAAAAATGTGTTTCTATCAGTCTCTTTTCTGAATATACTAGTGTTAAGAAGTTCTGTTTTCTTCACAGGCACATCAAGAAATGACACTGAATCTCTACTAGGTCCTACTGAAAATTTTATAGTAGGCATGCAATAATTTAGATGTTCACTGAAAGCCTCCAGTTCATCAACAGTACCCGAAAATATGCAAAATATATCATCTATGTAACGAAACCAACATCTCAACAGAGAGAAAAAAGGATTGTTGTATAAACATATTCCTATTCAAATTTTCCTATGAATAAATTGGCATAATTAGGGGAACATGCACTACCCATACTGACTCCTTCGCACTGCAAATAGAAAGAATCCTCAAATTTGAAGTAATTCTTGTTGAGAACAAGCTGGGTAAGTTCTACCAAAAAAACAGTAGTGGGGGTCTGATTCACTCTCAGTGATTCTCTTAGTGTAAAGGCTGACAATGTCCATAGTACATAATATATCTGTTCCTGATCCCAAATGGAAGAAATCTTATTAAGGAAGTCAGTGGTGTCTTTGAGGTAAGTTGATATACCAATTGTTTAATATGTAAATCAATTAATTGGATGAAATCTCCTGGTCTACTAACCTACAAAAGGTGGCTACAGAGGGATTATGAACAGGAGGAATGAATGTGCTTTTTGGTTTCAGAATATGACAGAAAAACTATAGGTTCAACAGGAGGAGAAAGGGCATGCTGCATATGAGGGGGTGAGGGGAGTTTATTGTCAAAAAAGGCTCTTAGTTTAACAGATCTAAAGAACTTGAATAGTTCTGGCTCTGGTTTGAAAAGAGTTAGCAGGCTTGAATGGAACAAAAGACAAACCCTTAGACAAAACAGACCGTTCTTCAGGAGTGAGGCACCTGCTGGAGAGATTGATGACATGCAAGTCCTTCCCCATTGTCTGCCGCTGGTGTGTGTGGTGCTTCCTGCCGCCCCTCCGCGTCGGGTGTCTTTTGCGGTGGCTCTGGTTAAGCGGCAGGGCATGTCTAAAAAAGTGTGCGGTCCACATGTAGTAGATGGGCCCTTGCTTCATGAGTCCTCCGTGGACAGATCAAAGGATGAAAAACCCTCTCATCTGTGTGGACGGCGGTATGTGCCAGACAGCCATGTGTAGATCCAGTTGTTCTTGTAGTCCAAAGTATCTCTCTGATATTTCCTCATCTTCACTTCTGAAATCTCCTTCTCATATGTGGAGATCAGCTCTGAGCATCTGCTTTCAATGTCACAAAGTTGCTGGGAGTTGAATTTCATTTTCATGTCTTTCTTTAAATCCATAATATCGGACTGCGTTTTAGAAAGTTCATCTTTTGTGAATTAGAGCATTTATTCAACACCTCACACCATTTCTTGCAGAAGTCGTTACTGCGTCGACCTAGTGTGGGTTCATTGTTAATCCTGAGACCCCTCGGGATGCATTTGTTGCGCCAGTATTGGGACAAGGTTGAGCCGTGGAGACTCATGCGAGTCTCTTTTTTCATGAGGTGCTCAAGATGCTTAGAAGTGGAGAGTTCAACACAGGGCAGGAGACATCTAAGGGAAATAACATGCTTTCAGAGTCCGAGTTCGAAAAAGCTAGGGTGGAAGCTCTCACCGCGGTAAGTTTATCAGTGTCTTGGTATGACATATTGTCCACAGGAGGTGCGGCACTCAATGAATGAAGAACTGGTACTTACTGGCACACATGGATCCTATTGTATAATCATATGGTCTTGTCACTGATTGGACTTTGGGTCTCACCTGGTTATCTAGATTTGTATTGTCATTTCTTTTGTTCTCCAGGCTGATGATGGCTTTACGCTGAAACGCATTTGTTTTCTGTCCACAATGCAAATACAAAAGAAGATGGATCAATGAGTCCCATTGTTTTGTTTTTGTTTAGTCTTTATCGCAACTGTGCACCCAGCATTATTTTGAGACTCTGAGTTGTGCGCACTGTTTCTACCAGTTTCAGTAGGTCTCTCTCTCAATCTTCAGATGCCCAGCTGAAGTGGTATCACTTCTATGTGGTATCTACTGTTGAACTGCTGTCTCTCCATAAAGAACCCTTCTAAAGTCTACTAAACTACTGTCATGGAGAAAGTCACACAACTGATTAGCGACTACTTTCTCAATGATCTTGGAGAGATAGGGAAGATTAGATATAGGTCTGTAGTTTGCTATATACCCTGTCAATTTATCACAGAGCTTCTGTCTGAGAGAGACCATGCTGACACATCAGATGGCCAAACAGCAGAAGTACCATTGTAGTCACAACATGTTCATCTCAAAATATGACCATTTTCTTGTAAAACTATTTTATTGTCACAACTCTATTTTCTCCTCAAAATTACAACTCTATTTTCAAAATTTCAGATTTCTCCTGTCCTAACAGTGGCCCTCATATGTTAAGGAGGAAGCTAAATGTTGTATGTTTGAAATTGATGTTTTTGTCATTGACATAATTTTCTTAAAGTTGTTTAAGGTATGAAAAACGATTAGTCATTTAATATTGTAACATGTACCACATTGTGGTGAATGTGTCCTGATTATGGTGATGATTAATGCCATACAATAGTAAATCTGTCAATGTCCATATCCAAATTCCAAGACATTTATTTACCAAACTATTGAACTATTTGCCATCCAATGGGGCCATTTGATTGGTCAGAATTTACTGCCCATGATATTTTTCAGCATGAACATATATAAGCCTTAAAAACCACTGAAAACAACCAGACTCTGGAAAAGACTTCGGGATACAGATTTTATTCTCAATATGTATGTATCATTCTCTTCAATTAATCAAAACTCCTATATAGGTGTATTGTAAAATATATTCTATTTCACAAAAAATATGCAAGAAGTCATTACTGATTGTTGAATGAACCAGGGTTCCTACACATTTTTATCAAATAATTTTCAAAACTTTTCCAAAATATTGTTCCCCATTTCCATGACTTTATTTAAGTAATTTTAAATGGGGAGGCCTATACGATGCAACCATCCCAGGCATTTGCAGCTCAGTAAACTGCCAGCGCTTACCAACTCCACTCGTTCATTAACCATTCCTGCTGCCAACTAGCTGCATATGCCAATAGACCAGACCGTCACATATGGGGTTCTTCAAAAAAATGTCAAGGCCACGCCCCTTTTTGGGAGGATAAAAACAAAAAACAAAGATCATCTAGATGTAATGCCTGAGTGACAACAATTTAATGTGTTTGGATTATAATTTTGACAAGTTTGCATTTATTCTTGTTGAATAAACATTTGTTTTATGACCATGTCTAATAATTATTTTGAAACTTTGCCTGAACCTGAGCGATACTGTAATAAATTAAGGCTAAATGATGCCATGTCACTACAGTTTTCTCCTGTCTAAGTTGATAAATGACCCAACACAGTGGGTGGATATTATAGATAGCTGGATCACAATACCTGATGGTTTAATCAAAAAAGAAAAAAAATGTCATTGATGCTGCTATACTGTATGACTGTAACGTTACTACAGTAGCCTCTCACTCAGGCTATCATTCAGTGGTAACTGTCACCATCATCATTTAGCCATTTACTACACTAACAATGAATATTCATGTATCTTATGCGCCTCACATCTCAGTGTGAAAGCCTTGATCAACATGCTACACGACAGCTTTTCAGCATTTTCCTGTTTCTTTCCTTATGTGACAGCACCTTTCTTTTCCCCAGAGGGGAGTGCAGGGTTAGCGATGACACAATGCTGGTCTGGTCTATGTGTATCCCGTGGTAGTAGTGATGTTTTAATGGTCATGCAGCGGAGCGCTAGATTTTACATTAGTAATACAAAGAACATATTTTGCGTAACTTTATAAATGTTTTGAGATTTTTATGAACTTATTTTAAACAATAGCCATACAATTTGTATTCAAAATGTTTTCAAAATATTCTGTTAATTCAAAACTATTTCCAGGCCTGGGAAACTGTTTTTCTAATTTCATAACTTCTCCAGGAATTTCATGACCGTAGGAACCTTGATGAACAACAAGACTGTAGCTGCAGTTTTCTATTTGTTTTTACAATTCTGCTGCTGCTGTGAAGAAGACAGCTTTAAAAAAGGATGACTGCTGCATTTGGACACAACATCTGTTCCTCTGTAATGAATGACATTAACGAAGGAGCACAGTCTATGGTGTACAGTGCAGTCTTGGATGGATAAATGGATGGGTGGATGTCACCAGTGCCTCACAGCCTCGCTAGAGGAACTGCTACTGAAGGTATCTGTTGTGTGTCTACCACACTACTTGTTCTTGCTAAGCGTTCTCTGCTTCTCTGCATGTTCTACAATCTTCTCCTCCACGTAGAGGCCTTTGCGGCGACGGACAGCATTCATGTATTTGAGGGCCTGGTTTTCAGAGTCTGCTTTCTCCCCAAAGTGCAGGTATTCCTCCTCTGTGGTGGGAACCCAGTATGGATCACTGCTGATTACCTGGGGCACAGAGGAGACAGTGAGATGTGATGATTAGTGATAGAAAGCAACATTCCACTTATGTGCATGTCATTTTTGTTGTTTTTGGTTGATTTTTTGTCACATTTACCCACTTGTGATGCAGAACTCCCTACTAGGGATATTATGCAAAGCTACTCTCTCTATTTGTTTATGTCACAAAAATATCTGTATTTGGATTACAACAAAAGTGGGCGTGGCCTAAACCTGAAGTTGTTAGACTTTGTCTACTCTTGTTCATATCATTCATTACATTGTATATTACTGCTATTCATACTCCTTTTGCATAAATCTTTAAATTAAAAGACACCTTAAAGCAAAACCCGCACTGTATAAGGCTGGACCCTGTATGGTCAGTGTGCTAAATTATGGCCAAACTATTGCACTGATCAGTAGTACGTCTATAATGTGAATTCCTTGCTATTAAATATCCATCTGCTCTTTTCTGTAGTTGTTCCAGTAACATCTGTTGATGTTCTGACGAAGTGTATGAACATGAAATGGTTTAGATTTGTTTGAGTCTATAAATAAGGACTAAGCCTCCTGAGGACATAACTGAGGACAGTTCTTGCCTGTTCATTTTGAAAGAGCAATGGCCAGTGGAGAAACTCCATAACTCAACCGACCAATAGTGTAACGTAACACATTTTCACTCCAACCTTGGTCAGACTTTTCACGTCGACATACGATGTGCAAGGTACCCTGGGTACCCTTGACATTCTGGGACACCGTGTCAACTTAAGCCTGTTACATTAGTCTCTTTTAAAATAAATGCACTACGTTGGTACAACACCGGTTTGGTTTAGGAAAAAAGTTTGGCTTATCAATCTTACGGGAAGCAAACACCAGCCTCGCAAGTGAAAGTCAGTGGTTGCTGGGCCTATCCACCACTCCTCTCGCCTGCCCTACTCAGGCTGAATCCAAATCTCCACCCTCTGGACTTGCAGACTGAGCCCTCGCGGACTTCAGGCGTACGTAATGTGACGTCTTCACCGTCATCATGTAAAGTCTGCAAGAGGAGTCTGCAGCATTATAAAGAGAGCTAATAGACAGGCTTGGAGTGTGTTTCACTCGTTTCCGTGGACACATTTGAGAGACTATCATGTATACGGTGATCACTGCAGCACTTGCCTACGTGATCATTCTACTCCTTACAAGATACTGGAGGCCGAGGGTTGTTTTACCTGACCCAGTTATGTGCTGTTATGCTGTGTGACACCGGAAGTAACTGACCAAGTGCCAGATTTTGACGACTTTGGAGTGAGACGGGTCACGTAAACTCCTTTCTCACTCATCAAGTCAGGGAAAGTCCTTCATTCCTCTACCATGAGGTTGACATTTTTGGCTTTTAGTTAAATTTCTTGTCATTTGTTAAATGGATTGAAATAGATTGTGGTAAAGATCACCTTAAAATCGGATGATTTTGATGATGCTTTGACTTTTTAGCTAGTGCCACAAGAAAGTCAAAATTTTCACTTCATGTTTAGAGTGAAATGTCTTGACAACTATTGGATGGGTTACCATAAAACTTGGTGTACACATTCAGGTTCCCCAACAGGACAGATTAACTGACTAGTAGTTACAACAAACAAGAAGCTAAAGGCCTTGACTCCCTCTGTCACTAAACTGGACCAACTTACAGTAGGGATCTGTCTGTCTGTCTGTCTGTCTGTGTCTCTGTCTCTGTCTCTCTCTCTGGTTATACTGGGACAGATGGCAGAGAGCAAGCTCTAACAACAGGCGGATTACAGGAGGTGACACACACCAACCGCACACACCACATGTGAGCAGCATATGCTTGAGCACCATGGGGGGTGATGCATGGGGCATGGGGAATCCTGCAACTGGCAAGTACTTGACTAATAGGCTGACTAAATTAATGTTGGTGAATGGCTGGCACTATCAAGAAATTCTGCTGCTGAGTTTGTGTGACCTAATAATAAGTGTATGTAACAACCAGTTTCAAAAAGAAATGTGAGGTGGCAGTATTCAGAAAAAATACTCTGATAAGGGAGAATTATTTCAAAATGTCAGTCACGGTGAAGTACTGTTTGTAGTTCTGGCTCTTATGGTACAAGTTCAGCAGGGTTCCCACACCTTTTTAAACATCAAGGACTTTTGGAGGACTTTCCAGACCGAAAGTCCCAACATGGCATAGATTGAGACATGGCTTAAGGTCAACCACTGTTACAACACTGAGAATTTTTATAATGACATGAGAACTAACAGCCTTTACAGAAGCTCATGAGCAACAATGGAAAGACAGGGAGAGGCTTGACTCTTTTAATTCTTCTCAATTGTGCTGTGTAGGTGGTGGCTGGTGTGAAACAATGACGCAACTGTGGGAGACACAGACAGTGGAACATAGCCTTTTTACTAACACTGATTAAAAAAAAAAATCAAAAAGAACTTTAATTTCTGTTCTTGTGCAAAATATATAAATTTGAATACTTTCAATGACCCATGTCTATTAGTGTATGTATTTTCTGAAACTTTAAGGCCTTGATGTTTTTTTTTAAGTACCGGTGGGGACCCTGAAGAGGGAGTTTGACAAGAGTCAGCTCAGTTAAAGAAAAAATATGGTGTTTTACAGCATTAATTTTATTGTTGTCAGTTTGGCCAACAAACCTCTATAGGCTTAAAGGCCAGTGTATGCAGTAGAACACTAGTAATTAGGGGTAAGGTTCTGATTGAATTCACAGATTCCAAAAACAAAGCCAAAGTTACCTTTGTAACTTCTGTTCTGTTTCATTCCTTCCTGACTGCCAGTGGCAATAAACAAAATGGATGATTCATACCAGTAGTGTCATGGGGAACCACAGTAGCGGATCCTGATATGGGCTGAATGGGCATTTGCCCAGGGCGGATCTTTGTCCCGACGTGTGGGGGAGCGGCAGGAGCGGGTTTGGCCCACTTGACATGCTGCTGTGTTGTGCTATGGCCTATTTAAGTGCTGGAATTTGTTATTTACGTGACAACGCCTGAACGCAACACAGGCTCTGCTCCATGGACTGGGTGTACAGTACCGTGCTGCGCTGCTGTGCGAGCAGCGTGTTACACACTATCCATAACAATAATTATGTCAGGTAATAAACTGCGTCGGAATCGGGTTGGTTCGGTCAGGAAAATGTGGCCCGAGGCTCTCTAGTGTGCTCACCTGTAAGTGCACGCAAGTGTCTCTGTGTTTGTTCATCTGTGTGTTTGTGTGTGTGTGTGTGTGCGTGCGCGCGCATTGGGGTGGAACTCCACCATGCAAGATACAGAGAGCAGAGGGGATTTGTAAAGGTGCAACCATGTAGAGACAGAAATGACATGCTGTCATGAAAATAAGATAAATAACATAGGCTATTTAGTTTGTTTAATAAAAGGACAAGGTATAGACCTGTTATATAGGAAAGGTAACCTCAACCCTATGGGCCCTAGGCATTTTTGGGGTATTTTTACTGCCTTTACTTTTAAGCTCATATCACAGTCATTATAAAGGCTACATACACATGCTATATCTTTTTTTTTCAGGACAATCTGGGCTAACCAGATTTGCCATCATTTCATGTCCTTCTATGTGCCTGTATTTTATATTAATTTTTATATCAATGAAAAAACAAATCCATGTGACTAAATTCTTACATTTTTACATGTATCTCACCATAGCAAGTTGGAAGAAGACATATTCTGCCATATATGAAGAGGGGAGACTCTCTGGAATCTGGCAATATAAGAACCATGATGCTGGCACATTCTGTCACTTCACAGTTGTCCAAAACATGTGGTTTGTGCCAGGCGGACATGATTGCCAGTATTTTTTCATTATTGCAAGAAATTCCATTGACTCATTCACAAGAAACATGCAATATTTACATCTATGACAATAGAAAAATAGTCAACCAAGTGCAATAATGTCCTCCAAGATAATATTTGCCACTTTGTTTGCAGTAAAAAAAAAGTTTGTTGTTGTTCCTCAGTTTCAGTTATATATTGGGGGGGGGAGGGGGGGGGGCATTTTGGGCATTGGGGGGGACACATGTCCCCCTCAATGTATATGGTGACTAAGCCCTGTCAGCATGCATAATTAGGCTACAGTTGTCTGGGTGCGCAAAGGTGAAGTGGCTGGTATTGTCATACAAAGTTTGATGGAGTGTCAACTGGACAATATGGAGATGTTTGCATCTTGAAAGCCGGACTACAAATGTGGATAGACAGGGAGAAACACACGCAAGCCTAAGACGTGGTAAGATACGATATTCCTCACTATATGAAGTGACTGATAACAAGATCTGTATAATGGATTGTAAAGAAATTCGTCAGGTTTTTATTTTGTAGACAATTGATCTGGATTTAAAGCGTGATGGGATGACACAATGATGTGTGTGTTATCCCTGGAAAGCTCTGCTCCTGTGCTTTCATGTGATATGCGTGGCATTTCTGTGCGAGCCTGCATTCGCGAGTAATCCATCCAAGAGTAATGTGTGTGCAAAGCTGCATGAAAGCTCTGTTATACATCATTTTAGTGTAACTTTATCATTTTTTTTCGCTGTGAAAACATTGGACTACCGACAAGTGCTTGGCCTTGTCGGAAAGCCACGCTGTTTCATGTGATATGTGTGGCTTCTCGCTATGACGCACGGTCGCGGAGAAAATCAATAGAGAAGAACAGGTGTAAATTTGGACACACTATGCGTCGTTCGGGCCCATAGGGTTAAATGACTTCTGTTGTGATCTAGCGCCATAGGGGGGTGTCGCCCAGGACGCCATTTAGGCTAGAACCGCCACTGGGGAACCAGACCCCCACCTGCTGGTTAATTGTAGATGCCAGTGGTAGAAAAGCTGATGCCAGTGTGAATCCAGAAACCACATTAAGGTGATCAAGTCCATCTCTGTAAATGAACATGTGATGTTTTGTGATGTTTTGTGATGTCTGTGACATGTCTGTGCCTGTGATATTTGTGATCGATCTCTGTACAGTTAGTGGAAAATGTACAGTT